CCACATAATCACCTACCCCACCGCAAACAACACCATCCTCTCCATCAACGCCACATACCCCTCCTCCGAAACCCCCCCAACCACCACAGATATCACCCCCCCCTTCTCAACCTTCCACCCCACAATAAAAACCCTCCTCACCCACGCCCGCGACCCGCAATCCCACCCCCTCGCCCAAATCCCCCCTCTCCCGCGCTGGACCTCCGCATCCGGCAAAATCGTCCTCGCGGGTGATGCCGCGCACGGCATGCTCCAGTTTCTCGCCCAGGGGGCGGCCATGGCGACGGAGGATGCGGCGGCGCTGGCGGAGTGTGTGGGGCGTGTTCGAGAGGCGGGGGAGTTGCCGGCTGCGATGCGGGTGTATGAGGTGGCGCGGAAGGGGAGGTGTGAGCGGGTGCAGGCTGCTGCTAGGAGGAGTGGGGAGTGGGTTATGATGGGGGATGGGGTGGGGCAGGAGGTTAGGGATCGGGGGATTGCGGGGGAGGAGGTGGGTGAGGTTGGGGGTGAGGGGGAGAATGGGGTTCTGGGTCCGTTGCTGGATAGGGGGTTTCGGGAGTGGTTGTATTGGCATGATGTGTTTGGGTGTGTTAATGGGTTGCTTGATGGGCGGGTTGGGGGGTGATGTCTGGGTCTGTGGGCTTGTGGGCTTGTTCAGGGGTTGTTGGAGGTGCGGGAAAGTTGGTGCGTAACGAGGCGGTATTCGGTGCTGGAGGAGCGTGTGTAGGTTGTGTAGATGTAACGAGTACCCGATGCGCAAGACTCCTATTATCATAAGTCATAGCTTCTATTCAGTATATAAACCCCAAAACGTACTCAACAAAAACCCCCAACCTACCAACTCCACCAATCCCCCTGATCCCGCATCGCAGCCGCAACCTTGCTGAAACCCGCAATATTCGCGCCTGCCACCAAACTAGGAAACTCGCCCTCGGCAGGCGCAACATACTCCTTGGCCGTCGTCAGACAGTTCTGAAAGCAATCCTCCATAATCCCGCGCAGCTTCGCATCCACCTCCTCAGCCGACCAGCGCAGCCGCGCCGAGTTCTGCGCCATTTCCAAACCCGACACCGCCACACCACCCGCATTCGCCGCCTTACCAGGCGCATACCAGATTGCGTCGCCCTTTTCAGACTTGCGGTGTGCTTCGAAGGCGTCGATGGCGTCCTGCGTGCAGCCCATGTTGCTTCCCTCTGCGATGAACTTTGCGCCTGCGGCAATCAGGGCTTGTGCCTCTTCACCTGAGACCTCGTTCTGTGTGGCTGAAGGAAGCACGACGTCGACGGCGCCGACGTGCGTCCAGGGCCGGGCACCCTCGATGTATTTGAAGTCGTGGGAGGCGTCGGTGAGGGGTTTGCGCTGCACCTTGAGCTGGGCGATTGAGGCGATGAGCTCGGGGGTGAAGCCTTTGCTGTCTGTAGGGGCGACGATGCAGCCTTTGCTGTCGGAGAGGGAGACGACGGTGCCGCCGAGCTCGATGACTTTGAGGGCGGCGTACTGGGCGACGTTGCCGGAGCCGGAGATGGCGACGCGTTTGTCCTTGAAGGATTGGGTGCCGCCGGAGGCGTATTTGATCATGTGTTCGACGTACTGCGGGGGGTGTCAGTGGGGGTTGTGTACGCAAATTGTGGCAAGGACATCAGGCCGGACGTACGTAGACGAGGCCGTAGCCGGTAGCTTCGGGCCGGATCAGGCTGCCGCCCCAGGCGCCGCCTTTTCCGGTCAGGACGCCCTCCCAGCGATTGCGCTCGGCACGGTAGGTGCCGAACATCCAGCCGATTTCGCGCGGGGAGACGCCGATGTCGCCGGCGGGCACGTCCGTGTCGGCGCCAATGTGCTTGTTGAGCTCGCGCATGAAGGCGACGCAGAACTTGCGGATCTCGTTGTCGGACTTGCCCTTGGGATCGAAGTCGGCGCCGCCCTTGCCGCCGCCCATCTGGACTGGGTTGAATGGTTAGTTTGGTTGTTTTTTCTTTTCTTTGTGACTGACTGCTGCTGGATTATGTGGATCACTCACGGCCGGTCAGGGCATTCTTGAAGATCTGCTCAAAGCCCAGGAACTTGAGGATGCTGAGGTTGACGGTCGGGTGGAAGCGGAGGCCGCCCTTGTAGGGCCCGAGAGCGGAGTTGAACTGTACTCGGTAGCCGCGGTTGACCTGGCACTGACCCTTGTCGTCCTCCCAGACGACGCGGAACTGGATGACGCGCTCGGGGATGGCGGCGACCTCGAGGGCCTTTTTGTACTCTGGGTTCTTCTCGAAGAGCGAGGAGTTTTCGAGGGTGGAGGCGAGCTCTGGGATGGTTGGAAGTTAGCCTTTCAATTACATACATACATGCAGGCAAAAGAAGTAGTTGGAGACTCAGAGGCACTGACCTTTGTAAGCCTGCTCAAACTCGGGCTCTGGAGCAAGGTTGGACATGATGAGGTGGTGTAGTGGTAGTGGAAGTGGTGGTAATAGTAGTAGTAGCAGTCAAGAGGTGAAGGAACAAAGAAGCCGACAAACGAGGAGGGAAACGGGCATGATATATGTCCCTCGGACGGTACCCATCAATCCAGATCCAGACCCTTCAACGTCACTTTCGACAGGTCGAGACGAACCAACAAAACCTAGTAGGCTCTCTCTCTCATCCGCGGGGCATATCGGGTGGAGTTATAGCAGCGGACCGATGTAGGAGCATCAACACGATCTGCTTCATGGCACTACTCTTCTGCTGGTGCACACACACTCGCAGCGGTATGCTAGAGATGAAGTGAATAGATAAGGGCAACAAACACACATGATTGGCTGCTCACCCTTTTCGCGGAACCGAAGATGGATAATTGTAAAGCGTCATCGGGTGGGGAGAAGTAAGGCGATTTAGTCATCGACACCTCAGGCCGCGATGTTGTTGGAGTGGTTGGGAGTGCACGACAGCCCAACAAGCCAGTGGGTGATGATGATGGCTGGAATTGGTTTGCAGAAAGAAGGTCGGGTATATTTCAGTACAGGTCAGGTATATTTCAGCCGGCAAGAGTCTTGGTGGGTTCGTGTGGGGTTCAACAGCTTCAACACTGGAACTGGGCGGCGCCACCAATTGCTGCATAATTATCCATAATCCCACCCTGCATCTGGGTTGATGATACAGTATATATTCATTAATCACTAGATGGGATGCACAAACAGATGAGAATTGTGGCTTGGAAAAAGAACTGAAGAAGGATCAAGCACACGACTCGATCCACTACTTGACGCCCTGCTTCTGCGCACTAACTTGCCTACCGACCACCATCCCACGCTCTCTTCGTATCGTTGCTGACGTCCGGCATCGCTATCAGACTTTTCGCTGCTTATGTCCATCCTCTACGGAGGTATATAGTATATACTTCATTATTCAATACCACAACACCATTGACTCGTCCTTCACTCGGCGTCGGTGGGATCCCAGTCTGTTTCATCTCGTTAATTGCCATTTATCCCCACTCTCGTCGTCGTCGCCACCACCTCACGCCCTGGCTCGACTTATCCCCGACTCACCTGTGACTAGGTATTCATCCAACCCGTCCAGGACTGCCATGTCCTCGTCCGTAATCTGGAATCCTCCCACCTCACTATTCTCCATGATCCGCGCCTTCTTGACGCTCTTCGGAAGAGGCACGTAGCCGTGTTGCACGCTCCACCGGACGAGCAGTTGCGCAGGCGTGCATGCGTACTTTGACGAGAGCGACACTACCGTCGGATGCTTCATCCTCATTGCGCGCACGAGCGGCGCATATGCCTCCACCAGGATGTTGTTGTCCTGGCAGAACGACGCAATGTCTGATCTGTTGTTGAATGGGTGGATTTCAATCTGGTTGACGGCAGGCATGGTGCGTGGTTTGGCGGCCATCAACTCCTGAAGCTGGCGGGTTTGTGAGCGTTTGTGCTTGCGGGCAAAACCGCAGTGTACGCTTCAGGCCATCTCACATGCTTCACCCCGTAGTTGCTCACCCCTCCAATCCGAATATCGCCCTCGTCCACGGCATCTTCGACTGCACGCCAGCTATCCAGCCTGGCCTTCCTGCCGCCATACGGACTGTGAAGCAGAAACAGGTCAATATAGCCTAATCCGCAAGTCTTGACAGATTGCTTGATAGACCTGCGCACCGCTTCATACGAGGAATTAGAGGCCAGCTTCGACGTGAAATGTATATCTTCACGCGTCAGGCCGTCCTTGTTGCCCTCGCTGGCCAAGAACTCGGTAATCGCTTGAGCTGCCTCGCGCTCGTTGTGGTACATCTGAGCCGAGTCGATTCTAGAAGACCAGGGGGGGTTGTCTCGTCAATGGTTACACCTCTCTGCGAGCACCACAGCTTGGCTCAAACCTACCCTCGATACCCCGCCTGTTCTGTCAGTCAGAAAGAGAGATACACACACGGACCACAATCTTTTTGCATGCATAATATAATAGCAAGAGTGACAGACCTCCAGAGCCCACCTGACAGCCCTCACCGTCTCATTGCCTGACGTGAGATAGACGCCAAGCTGGATCTGAGGCATGCTCAGGCCATTTGACAACTCGGCCAGTCAGCCGGAAACTCTCCGTTCAAAAGGGAGTTCTTGCAGTGGCGAGGCTCACCGTGACACGACTAGCTAGCGAGATGGATTGCGCGGCCATGGCTGGTGGTGGTAATGAGATAGATGTTGGGTAATAGACAAATGCTTTTTTATTTATTTATTCTGATTAGCGGAAGATGATGGCGGCGACTGAAGGAAGAACCCCGCTGGCCTTGTAAAGGATGCGAGACTGTCAGACGATGATGATGAAAGATGTATATGACACGGGACGGCGAATCTCATGATATGACGTCGTATTGCGTGTTGACGGTGTGTCTAAAGGTTGTCCAGGGTGTCGCCTCATGCAGTGGATGCTGCTGATCTGCTCTCGCGGTCCCGGGAGAGTGGGTAGCGGATGCGGTAAGGCGGTAAGGCGGTAAGGCGGCAAAGCAAGCGGTAGGTAAATGTAGGTACAGTACATGCTGTAAGTAGCCCATAGCTTCTCTGCAGGGCCACGCAGGGTTTATACTGATTAATTACAGTGTCACTTTTCTTTGCAACTCGTGGGATTCTCATCCTGGAACGAGGTGAGATGAGATGTTGCTTTGCTTTCTTGCCCTGCTCTGGTTGCGCAATCGATACACACATACACATACATACACATACGTACACGTTACTCGACTCAGCTGCGATGGGATGGCGACGTCTTGGCTGACTGGAGGCGAGAGCTGAGCAGGAAGCATAGAAGCTGAGGTGACGTCCTCATATCCCTTTCACAAGCGTGCATACAGAGATCTCCGTGAGGCTGCAAAGGAAGGCGAAACGGAGCGTGCCCGTACGAACGAAAGAAAAAAAGCCCTTACACAACTGACGTGCGGCTCTACAATATGCAAACCTTCGGGCAAAAGCATCTGATGAATGGGGTGGTGGATGATGACTTCAATTTCTGATCACTCATCATTTTCACCTGGACATGCCAATCATGCATTGCCTGGACGCGGCAAGGTCCAAAATGCTGGTAATAATAATGGCGGGTGAATAGACAGCTTCAGGCAGAGCGAAGATCCCCTATTTCGGCTACCCCGGTGGGACCTTTTACGCCTCACGCACGCCCGTCGACCACCTTGAAGATCTGCGCATCCGTCCGTCCTATCCATTCATGCGTCCATTCATGCGTCTATCCATACCACAGGGCTTCTCTCCTCACATCATCATCATTATCATCAGCAAATCACAGGCAATATCCCGTGTTGTTGCCCTGTCAGTCCGTGGCGACTACAGTACACGCCCGTAGCTGTGCTTTGATCATTGACTCTGATGATGACGACGACGACGATGATTGATGCTGGTCATGAATGAATGAATGAACAACCGCCTCGTTCTCGCCATCGTCCAACCATCTCTTCAGCTTATCGCTGCTGCAACAGTTTCAATATTGCAAGGCGATATTGCGCACGCACCGACTTGACGACTACAGTGCAACATCAAACACCTACAGTCTCGACATGAATCATCTGCTTGATTAAGCATACAATAATTAGATTGGTCTATTGAGCGCAAGCCACTTCGCCTTGAAATTTAACCTGTACCTTAACCCTGGAGTGGGGCCAGGGCGGGAAAAGACTGGCGTGGGTGTCCCAGGTCCTTTGTTTGTCGACCTTTTTCTCCCCCCCCCTGCCTGTGCTGGTGGTGGCTAATTATGGGGAATTTGTTGGTTTTCGAATGGGATCAAACAACCTCCATTCGCCAATCGTTCTTCAGCTTCAATCTGCCAGTCATCCCGTTGGCTCCCAGTCTTGCGCATCTCGACCATCAGTTACACAGGAATAAGCACTGCTTTTGGACTGGCGATATATAGTCCTCCGCGTTTGCCGGCCTCGATTCGTTCTTTCAGGCCAGGCACTAAACTAGTTGCCGTCATCATACACTACGAGACGAGACGACAACGCCGGCCGCTGATGCTTCCAAGCTTCCATCTGATCCATCCCCTCGGATTTATTTTCCCTAATCACTGCCATACTCCATCTTCTACATCCTGGTTCACGACTTCACTTTTTGCTACCTACTGCAGGTCACGCGACTGTCCTGACCCACTAATCGCCTCAACATCCCGCTTCTAGAGCTTTGCTGTCTAGATCCGCCTGCCGTTTGTGTGAGTCTGCGCTCGCCAACCTCTTTCCATCACTTCATACACATTTCTTATATTATTCCCGTACCAGTCCCAGAAAAATCCGCTTCTAATTGGCGGCTCAGGCTGTGATATGTCCTCGAGCTACTTCACAAGCGAAAACCAGGGGCTTCAACCACGACCACCAGGGGAACCGCCGTTTGCCCGTCCCTCTCCAAGTGGATCCGACGCTGGAATGACGGGCGATCCTCAGTTCGACATCTTCGAATGGCATCCCGCATATCAGAGCTGCCAGCGCTACTTTCTCGACCACGCCCAGCATGACGGCAGTGTCCAGGCAGTCGCCGCTCTCGTCAACATCGCTCTACCCTTTCAATGGGCCCAGAGTCCCATCTCAAACTCCTCCGCTTCTCCCATGCCCGGCGCAAATCTCGCACCATATCAACAGCACTACCAACGACCAGGACCTTCGCAAGGGACCCAAAGGCCTGGAGCCGGTCTCGCATGGGTCTCACTCGTGCCCTACATTCGCCGCCTGATAGTCACGGGATTCGACAGCGCAGGCGTCCTCCATGGCTTCTTCGGCGACGAGTGGAAGAAAGGCATCGGCCCCGTGCAGGAATGCGAGAGGCGCAACTACCTGTTCGCCGCCAAGAGCGTTGGCTGGGCCAAAGTCAAATGCCAGTACGACATGTCTCCACACGAGAGCGTGCCCTTCCTGAAGCCGCTCCAGAACGTGCAGCTAGCCGAGATTGAGGGTGCGGAGAAGACTTGGAGCCAGTGGCTTGCGATGGAGGACTGGATGGTTGGGCCTCGTGCGCCCGTCGCGATGGATGAGGGTGGTCCGTCGAGGCCTCGCCCGAGCCAGGAGTTGTAAAGTCTGTTTGTTGGTTTGGTTTGAGACTGCATACTATGACCCGGCGTTTTGATACACGATAGGATGGGATGGCATGGTATTGGCGTTTTATGTGATTATTTTCATTGAGAAAGACACGCGTGTGAAGTCGCGCGTGGTCTTTTTCCTTTTTCGGTGTAACAATACTTTCGTTTGGGGCAATATGCTGATGCTTTTACATTCTGATGAGTTGCCAGTCTTACTCGTTTGTGCTTATTTTATTGTAGAAACCTTGGTCTCACAGCTTGAGTTTCGTGTTGATAGACGATGGATGGCAGGGCGAGGCGAAACGGCACTAGTTCCAACTTTCCTTCAAGAACCCCACGTGGACTTGCACTTACATAATCATGCACCCAACTTGAACCCTAGCCATTCTCCAATAACTAGCGTCTACTTAATTAACTGGTATTTTATATTTGGTATCACTATAGTTTACCTGCACAAGCTGGACGACACTCTAAGGACTGTGCCCTCACCTCTAAACTCACCTCACCGTTTTGGCTACATCAATCTCACGCTCTCCTCATGGACTCTCCTGTGAAGGAAGAACCCCCATCCGAGGTATGGGCGCGCTTCGTCAACAATTGTCTCGCAATGCGCGTGCGTCCCGAGAGGTTTGATGCCCTCTCCCAGAAGTTGATCGTGAATTCGCCAATCGAGGGCCGGTTCCTCGCCAATATTGTCTTGCGCCCACAAACTCCAGGTTACGAGTTGATGGATCCTTTGGTTCTTGGATACCTCGAAAAGGCTCTTTCCCGTGATCTGATCGATGCTGGCGACATCCTGCTCTCACTCTTCCGGTGGTCCAAGGATCGGCCATATAACAACGACGAGGACAAGAACTCTGCTGAGGCACATCGACGGAACCCACCTCGCCTGGATGAGCTTGTGCTGCATCACTTGGCGAGGGTGTTTGCCGACTCCCAGCGGCCCAAAAGCCCGCCTGAAGCGCGTCGGACTCTCATTCTGGTTACGAAGTGGATGGTTGCCATGGTCGACCTTCACCATAAGGACTCGATGCTGCAAGCGATGAACGGTGCTGAGCATACCCATCGCATCGTTGCTCGGGACGCCTTGGGCCAGCTTGCAATCGCGCTCTTGAGCAATGCCAGAGTGGTTGGGATCATGAACAATAGAATCTTCCGCAAAGGTTCGTTTCAAAATCTGTGCTGGTGGTGAATTTGGTCACTAGCCGGAGCCGTCTCCTGACTGACAGATCACAGGCGAAAAGAAGAGCCTGGCGCAGGCTGTTTCGACCTTTGTACCATTTCTGGCACAGATCTCGATCAATACGTCCAGTCGTCTGGCTGAGCTGCAGAAAAGTCATGACTTAGTCGAAGAGCCTTTGAACGATATTGTTGGCGACAAAGAAGCCAATGACCTTGCTGTCGCGACGATGCAGCTCCAGTCCGTGGCGGAGTTGCCAGTGATTAATTCACGATCTGGTCTGTTCATCTTCTTGAACTCTCTGGTAAGTGTAGTCAAACTGACCGACTGAGCGGATGCCTGACTACAACAACAGCTTGTTGGACGCCCTCTGACCGATGACACGACCATCCTGGTGTATCTCAGTAATCGCTACAAGGTATGCATCACGTGTCGAATGGTGTACGCGTCTAGAATTTTAGTGTTGATATGATGCAGGGAGATGCTCAAAGATCAACAGTCGATCTAATCACGGCCGCCTTCGATGTCCTTTCGAACGGCAACAACAGGCACGAGTCGCAGATTCACATGTTCAACCTTCGATCGTTTCTGGTCAACAAAGTTCCAACGATCATCGCCACCCTCTCGCACTCGATGTTTCCACCTCTGACACCTGAGTTCTGCATCACACAAGCTCTGGCACACATTGATCCAAACTCATTCCCTTCACTCGCACATGCGAGCTTCGATGTTGCCGCTGGCGACAATCCTCTGATGGACGTTCGACAAGACTTTCTCTTTGCCTGCGCTTTACATCGGCTCCTACCGGTTGAAAGTATTGAGCGACTGTTGGGTGAGCAGCCAATGTCTGATCTGCCCTCCGGTGGAGCATACACGAAAGGGGCCTTGGTCTCCCAGTGTTCGGCCAACCCGGAGCGAGTGGAGGAGCTACTGAACGAGATCGAACGGATGGACGGCAACGTAGGAGCTATTGCGATTGCAATTACTGAGGTAAGTCATTCTTATTTTCCAGAAGTTTCACACTAACATACACCTTTCGAAGGTCGTTCGAAATCTTTGCGCTTCCAAGGAAACCATGTCACTCAAAGCAGTCTGTAACGGACTGTCGCGGCGGCCAAAGGCTCTTGACATCATCCTGCAATACACATCACCGACCAGTATCCTGCAGCCTCTTTGCCATATGTTGGACGCTTGGAGACACGAGGAAGACCAAGGGGAGTACCAGCCAGTATTTGACGAGTTTGGTGCCATACTATTACTGGTCCTCGCGTTCGTACATCGCTTTGACTTGACTGCCCAGGAGCTGGGCCTCAATAATGACTCTTTTGTCGCACAGCTGCTACAGCGCGGACACATCAGCATAAAGCAACGCGACTTGACCCCGGAGCAAGGCAAACACCTGGCGGGTTGGGTCAACGACCTTTTCGGAAAGGATGGAGTAGATCAGGTGTTGAGGACTTGTGGTCCGCAGGAATTCTATCAGCTTGTTCCAACATTTTTCAGCCAGACAATGATGGCGTGCGCCGCAGACGTGCTGCCGTTGAAGACGGTGGAATCTGGACTTGAATGTAAGTTTGGTCAACGTTATGGACTGCATAGCTTATTGACATGTGAATGCAGACTTGCTTGAGACGTTTCTTCTGCCTTCATTAGTCGGTGCGTTGAGGTGGATGGCAGCTCGCGCACTTCAAAAACCTGGAAAAGAGATCGTAGTCCTGATCCAGGTCTTCAACAAGCTCATGAGACCATCCTCGATATCGGGCGATGCACAGGCAATGCACAACACCATCTTGTCCATCGTCTCGAAACAATTGCAGGCATGTTTCCAAGTCCTCCGGAAACACAAGCAGCTCGCCAAAGAAATCGAACCGCTTATTGAACGGCTCAAGCCACATCTGAAGTACGAGCGAACGGCATACAGCTCCGTCAGTGAAATTGAGACGTGGACCTCACATTCCAGCACACTTTGCCAGGTGATACGTGGCAATATACAACAACTTATTTCCTGGGCTACGAACGCGACCCGGGTTCTTGTCAGCCCTCCGCCCTACCCTGCGCGTCTTCTACACGTCGCCGAAAGAATCCTCGGGCCGAGCAAAGTCCTGCGCGCCATCATCGACGAGGTCAGAGCCCAGACGGACACCGGTCATGGGGAGTATGCGCTTGATATTGGGGTCTCGATGATCTGCGCAGTCTCGACCGACAACAGCCCGCTGTCTGTAGACTGGCTCACGTCGCCGGTACCGTCACCACATGTCCCTCGCACACGACCAAACCTGCGCGACATGCTGAAGGTGGAGCTCGATGAAGCGGCGGATCTGATAGCTAGCGATCCACTTACAGCGGAAACGATTGTGCGCTTGCATCGGCGTGTCGAGGCACAGCTGGCTGTGTCCGCCTTACCGGATCTCTCTACCACGGTGATTATACAGGACATGCATATCGATGTAGACGTCCCATCCGACAGCAACAACGCACAGCAGAATGGCATGGACTCTATCAACTTGGGTGGCAGCACAGACGACATGATGTCCGGCTTGGGCGATCTCGGTGGCGATACTGGCGATGCGACAAACCATGGTGGAGACTTGGATCTGGGAGATCTTGGAGATATGGACAATCTAGGGGATATTGGAGACATGGGAAATATGGACATGGATGAGATGTTCCCGGATTACTTTTGAGGGGCGGGCATATATATCATCGCAAGCTTGTAGATGGATCTCTGGTCAGGTTACTATTACAAGAGATATAACACAATATTACAGTATATCAATGGTAAAGAAATGGAAATAGTTCAACAAGCAATCGTCAGGCCCGGTTTAAATGAGGCCGACACGTCCAGCTGCATTGAGTCAGTACAGCCGACAGAGCCCCGAGGCCGAGATCCGCGCACGGACCCAAGGTCAGCGTGGGGAAGCTCCGTAGCACATCACATCATCTGGTCTGAACAACACCTTGATGACTGTTCACATCGGACAACCATACTTCTCGTGCATGTAGCTTGGGATACTCCATCGTATGCTGAGCATCCCACCGTTCTTCTCCATTCCTCCTCCCAGCAATGGCGTCCAAGGCATTGCGGCCAGCCGTGCGACCGCGACTCCCGATTCCCAACACTACGACGTCCCACATCAGACCCCGAGACCTCAATTGCAGATGTACAGCAAAGCGGAGATGCTACAGCAGCGAAGCCCCCGCCAGTAAACGACGACCGAAAACAGCCCTCTTCTTCCCAGGTACGCGCGAAACCCCAAAGCCCATCATCCCATCACCCTTCCCAAAACCCCCTCCAAACTAACCACCATCCCCGGCTACCCCTTAGGCCAAGGCGTACAACGAGTCGGCATGGCCGACCTCTGGGTCTCCGCCTTCCCAGCAACCGCCAAACCTCTCCTCGACGAAATCGACTCCGTCCTCCAAATCCCCCTCTCCACCATCATCGCCTCCGGCTCCAACGCGGTCCTCACACAGACGGAAAACGCCCAGCCGGCCATCATGGCCGTCAGCGTGCTAGTCATGCGCATCCTCGAGCGCGAATTCGGCTTCGCCACGGGCGAGCGCATCGACGTGGTGCTGGGCCACTCGCTAGGCGAATTCGCGGCGCTCGTGGCGGGCGGATACTTGCGCTTCGACGACGCGCTGCGGCTGGTGCGCACGCGCGCCGAGGTCATGGCGCGCTGCAGCCGCGAGGCCTTTGAGCAGGAAGGCAGCGAGTTTGGCATGATTGCGCTGGTGTGCGAGAACCAGGCGCGGATGGAGGCGCTGCTGGACGGGATCCAGGAGTTTCTGGGCTTGGCGGGCCCCGGGGCGAAGAGCGATAGTGCGGACGATACCCCCGCGGTGCGCCAGGTGATGGTGGCGAATATCAATAGTAAGAATCAGATTGTGCTGAGTGGGAATGTGGAGCGGATGCAGACGCTGCTGGCGCATCTGAGGCAGTTTGGTGGGCATGATCCGCGGAGTGTGCGGCTGAAGGCGGATACGCCGTTTCATAATCCGCTTATGATGCCGGCGCAGGAGACGATGAAGCGGGTGCTTGGGCGGAAGAGCGGGTTTAGCGGCGGGGATATGGTGGCGTGGCCGGGGCTGATGCCGTGTATTTCGAATGTGACGGGGCGGCCGTTTCGGGACCGGGAGAGTTTGAAGGACTTGCTGTCGCGGAGCTGTGTCGAGACGGTGCAGTGGTGGAGTAGCATCAAGTATCTGGACCAGGAGGAGAAGGTTCGGCGCTGGATCGGGGTTGGGCCGGGCAAGGTGGGCAGGAATCTGGTGGGCAAGGAGGTGGGCATGAAGGGCGCGGTCAAGGGCGGGGGCGTCTGGGGTATTACGGATCCGAGGGAGATTGAGATTTGTCTCAAGGGGTTGGAGGACACGGAGAATGTGGAGGACGAGGAGGACTGATGGGCGGGCGTTGACGTTGCACTTGTCTGGCTGGCTGTCTGTCTGTCTGTATACGTACAACATCGTTCCTCGGCCTCTCTCATGCTCCCGTTCGACACTCCCAAACGCCAACCCGGAATCAACAGCAACGGCAAGGCCTGTTGTACTCGGTTGCATTCATCGCCAGAGGCACATACATCGTACCAAATCAACTCGGTCTCCCCGCCAGCACAGCACCAAACTCAGTCAACTGCCGTATCACGTCCTCGCCATACCGCCGGCCCTAGTCCGTCAGCAACAGGCCCAGCATGACGAAGTTGATCCTGAATCACGGGGCAGTGATAGTGGTGCTGGTCAGTGAGTGAGCGGAATTGGGGTTGTGAAATGGCTGATGTCAGGCGTGAGGTCTGTATGACTAAGTAGTCTTGTGCAATCAGGTATTATTATCAAAAGGCAAAGTAAGTGAATTGGCTGCCTGGAAGCTGTAGCTGTAGGTCGCTACCCTAATGGTGGAAGCACAACAACGTGGAATCGTGTAGTTTACCCCGCATTTTCTGCTGAACCTGCATGGCGGGGGACGGGCTGCTGGGTATACATTTATATATTGGGTACTTTGACGGTGTTTGTATTTGTATATGAGTATCGATGTCGATTGAGGGTTGTTTCTTGGTATTGTTCACACCAGCCGTTAGTCGGCGCCTTAGGCGCATTAGTTGTTATGTACGTCTATTTACCCTTCTACCCCAGATTATTCAGCAGGCCTGTCCTTGTTTCTGCAGACCCCGCGTTTTGGACCCGATGGGATTGAGCGCTGCACGAGTCATTGTTTTTGTAGCTCACGGCGCGTGCATCATGTACGTGCATACATACGTGCATAACATACTGTAATTACAAATCTGTATCTATATCTACATACGGATGAGTGTTGTATAGCGTCTCCTTGGCTCATGTCCATCCATGAAACCCACTCCCCCCCCTGCCGACGAGCCGCTAGTTAGTGCATATGCCCTCGAAACACTCACTCTATTCTGATATCACCATGCGCCACTTTTGTTCTTAGGCTGTTCTGGATTCGACTGCGCTGCTGTGTACTCTCCGCTTTCCACTGTCCACTGTCCACTATCCACTATCCACCTCTCCCGCCTGGCATCTTCACCAACTCTCTCTCTTTTGAGATTCTGTCTCTCGTGGTCAGTCATGTCCGGATCTCCGAAACGACAATGAACGCTGCTGCCTTTGTACCCTCGCCGGACCAGGCCTCGCCCGATGTCCGGCATGCCCGCTCACGATCTGAGATCGAAGACGGTCATCCTGTTGGCCTTGAGCATCGAACGCGCCTTAACTCTAATCAATCCCTCGATAGACCTAGCTTCAAGCATCGCCGTGTTCATGGCAAGGCCCTTGATCTCGGTCTTCAGTCTGCCATTCCGGAGGAGGGATCGACCTCGCCGCCGACGTCTCAGAGCCCATCTTCGGCCTCGCGTCCGGATCTAGACATGATGCATCCGACCGTGTTCAGGGCCGCCCATAAACTGAGCTCCATCAATTGGATCGGGAGCTCGCCCATGTTCGGCCACATGCCCGACCTCCAGGACCACATGGACAGCCAGCCGGACATCTCGTCTGCCATCCCAAATGGCACTTTTAATTCTTCGTCGTTGCTGCCGCTGAATAACAGTCCCCTGGCGCTGCTAGACATCAACAGCGCATACCATGCCGGGAGTCCGGCGAGTGCCAACCAGGGGAAGAAGCGGCAGGGCTACTACTACGTCGACGGCGGCGGTGCGAGGCTTCCGAGGGTCAAGAAGCGGAGGCTGAATGTCGATGCGTTCGAGTATCCGCCGCTGGACATCCAGTCGCCCGGTGACTTCTACTTTGCTATTCCGCACATTCCTGAGTCGTCGTCTGCGAAACCCAGGGTCGACTTTGTCACTTATACTGCCATAACCGCGGCTTTTCGAGACCATTGCATCCACAACACCTTGCTCCAGCCGTGCTTCGAGGACACGCCTTTCATACCGCTGAATACGATGAATCATCTGATTGACCTCTACATTGCCCACATGCACCCACTACTGCCCTTTCTGCACCTGTCTTCCATGGACCTGAATCAGTGCTCGTGGGTTCTCGCCCTCGCCGTCGCCACGTTCGGCACTCACTTCCTCAACGACCCGCAGTCCCGCAACCTGAACATCGCCATGCAGGAGTTCCTCCGCCGGGTCCTCCTGACCACGCACGCAAACCTCGACAAGACATCACAGTCCAAGTTCGAAGAGCTCTGGCTGGCCCAAGCAAGCCTGCTCTCCTGCCTCGGCGGCTTCTTCTCCGGCAACGCCAGGCTGCATCGCAACGCATACAACGCCCGCTCCGCTCTGTGCGCATTCTGCATCGAGTCCTGGGCTCTGCCAGACTACATCGAGGAGGACCGCCCCGAGGGCCACGACGACTCCATCTGGCTGAGCTGGTGCTTCAACGAGTCCGTCCGCCGCACCGGCTACGCAATCTGGCTCCTCGACAGCATGCTCGCCTACGAAATGGACTACTCCCCTCTCCTCAGCCTCGCTCACGCCAAAGTCCCCCTCCCCTGCCCCGAAATCATGTTCGACGCCCGCAACCCAAGGGAATGGCTCACCCTCTCCAGACTCGCCACCCCGATGCCCTCCCTCATCGTCGCCTGCGAACTCCTCTACACCAAAAAACACATCAACATCATCACAGGCGAGTACTCCCGCGTCCTCCTCATCCACGCCATCTTCCAGCGCACCTGGGACATCGAGCGCTACATCCGCCAGCCCCTCAGCCACCTCGTCCCCATCTCCTCCATCTCCTCCTCCTCCCCCTCTTCCTCCTCCGCAGCCGCCACCCGCTCTGCAATCCCAACCACCACCTCCTCCCCCTCCACAACCCCCCCCAGCATCCTCCCCAGCGCCTCCCTCCACTCCGCCTGGCTCAACGCCGCCTGCGCCGCCCTCAACGTCCTCCACTGGGGCGCAAACGCCTGCGTCGCCGCCCAGTCCGGCACCGAACACCCCACCATCCTCCACCTCCACCTCGCCCACATCGCCCTCCTCGCCCCGCTGCCCCACCTCGCCCGCCTCGCCTACCACATCGCCGGCATCACCCCCTTTCGCTGCCCCGCCGACGAAGAGCACGCCAGAGCTGTCGTGTTGGACTGGATCCGCGGCGAGGACGCGCAGGATAGAGCCCGGCTGGCGGTTATTCGTGCGGGGGGCATCTTCTGGCATGTTCGGCGGTATTCGTCGTCCGGGTTTTATGAGCCGGCTGCGGTGTTTCATGCTACGCTTGTGTTGTGGGCTTATAGTTTCTTCGCGAGGCCTGCGCACTACCATCACCACCACCCCTCTCATCCATCTCACCACCCCGCACACCCCGTGCAATCGCCCTCCTCAGACACAGAGGAATCAGAAGTAATTAATCTGGATCGTCCGCTGGACGATGAGCTGGCGAGTGCGTTTGTGAGGCGTGGCGCGCGGATGAGGGCGTATTTAACTGGGGTGGGCGGTTTGGCGGATGAGGGTAGTGCCGCGAGGGTTGTGAGGAGGGGGGCCGGGTTGGTGAGGGGGTTGGTGGCGATGTGGGGGTATGGGTG